TGTTGCTTTCTAATCTCTGTCACTGCTTCTCACAATTTATCAGATTTAAAAATGTGTCTCTGATAATCCAGGATGTGAAATAGTTGAATTCACAAGATAGAATAGCTGAAGCACAGATTCACTGCACCTTTGTCAGAAGGAACTAAATATGTCCATTGGTGGGGAAAACTTCAGAGGAACAGAACCTTCCAGAAGAAATATTCACTGTATCCTAGGAACATATGTTGATGACTAGACGAAGTTGCTTATAACTTTAAGGGAATCACCCATTTTATCCTTTTGTTCAGTTGGAGTGATAGCACAGCGGGTAGGGTGTTTGCTTTGCACAAGGCAGACCTGGGTTCAATTCCTCTGTCTCTCTCAGAGAGCCCGGCAAGTTACCAAGAGTATCTTGCCCACATAGCAAAGCCTGGCAAACTACCTGTGACCATCTCTCTTAGAGAGCCCGGCAAGCTACCAAGAATATCTTGCCCACGTGGCAAAGCCTGGCAAACTACGTGTGACATATTCGATATGCCGAAAACAGTAACAAGTCTCACAATGGAGACGTTACTGGTGCCCACTCGAGCAAATTGATGGAAAATGAGAAAATAATGCTATAGTGCTGCAGTTTTGTTTTGTCCTGGGCCACACCCAGCTTACTCCTGGTTCTATCTATGCTCAAGGATCACTCTTGGTGGGGATTGCGGGACATATGTTTGAACCATTATAAACAATTTATAATGGATCCCCATGGACTATCCCTCCTGACTTTTAGCGGGATGTTCACTGTCTTTTTGTCTTCTCTCTATAATGAATTCATTAGAATACATTATAGAATTGCTCCACACATCCCTGCAGTTTCAGCTTAACCTGTGAATCTACTTTGAGATTCTACAGTGCTCAGGACTATTTAATAGGATCCAAAAGCATGGGTGATATCTTTAAATCATCCCCAAGATACCAGAAGAATTACCAAGGGGTCCCCTGGTTTGTGTTTTGGGAGAGATAGCAAAGGGTAGGAGTGATACCTGGGATGACATGAAATGACTCTCGAAGGCCACATAAATGTGCAGAGAAGAGAAGGTGTCTTAGACAGAGAAACCTATGTGTAGAGGCATAGACAAAAGAAATTTACTGACTTGCCACAACCAGTCTCAAGTATGCAGAGGAAATGACAGGGGATTATTGGGAACGAAGGTCAGGCCTGGATTTTGGTATCAACTCAGTAGTCTACAGAGGCACATGAAGTTGGGGGTGAAGGGGTGGGAGTTTATTTGCGACATATAGGATAATGTTGACATTAAACAGAGATTTCTGACATTGAATTAATAAACACCAGGGGCTAAAAAACATTTCTATAAAACGTAAAGAAAAGGACTAGAGAGACAGCACAGTTGTCTTGCATGCAGCTGACTTTTGATCCTCTGAAAGTATAAGGTCTACATAACTGTTTAATGCTATTTTGTAATTTAGAGTAATGGTATTCCCGCTTAAAAGCATAGTGAAGATTTTTCAAATGTAATAGATGCTAATATATCAATTTTTCCTTCAGAAAAAGTTCCAGGAAACTGTGACCAAACTGAGGAAACTAAAAGGTGAATGTGAGGCCTTGAAGTTGTGCACAGGAGAGAAAATAATAAAGCAGATGGTAAGAATTTTAGTTTACTGATCTCAAATATGCTCTGTCATACAGTTTAGCATGTATGCTCTACAATACAGTTTTGGCATCAGACTGGATTAAGCAAAACAAAATCATGTAAATTGTGTTTCAATCTCACTAAATAAGACTGACTAAATGAATCTCAGATTTAGGTTTCAAGTTCCTACTTGCCTCTATGTTTGATAATTTCTCTCCAATTTCTTTATATCATTGTATCACTGTCATCCTGTTGTTCATCAATTTCCTCGAGCAGGCACCAGTAACATCTCCTTCGTCCTAGCCCTGAGATTTTAGAAAGTGCCACATTTGAGGCTCTTTCAGGATCAGGAGAATGAGATCCATCATTGTTACTGGTTTTTGGCATATTGAATACGCCACAGGGATTTTGCCAGGCTCTGCCGTGCGGGCAGGATACGTTCGGTACATACCAGGTTCTCCAGAGTAAGAACTAGATAATAAAATGTCATGTGGCCATGTATGCAGCCTCACGCTTCCAGGAACTGGGTTTTATAGTCCCTGGATATTGGCTGTTGATGGGATTACACAGTGCTGGGGTCAGTTGGTGGATGTAACGCCTACATACTGGAAGATGGGGGACCTGGGTGGAGGAGGCCCAGTCCAGATCTGAGCAGGCTTGGAGATCTATGCCCTGGGTCCCACACACCTGGGTTCCTAGGTCGGTTCCTTCATGTGTGAGGCTCGTCCAAACGTGTGGAGAGTGGTCTTAAGCATGGCTGTGGCTGGAACCAGAGTTCTTCAGCTGCCGGGGCTCTGCTTGGGGCGGGGAGGGAAACTCAGTCCGCCCTCCTCCAAGGGGCTCCAGTGAGGACAGCCAGGCATGGAGGTAGGAACAGCATCTATTCTGTTCTCTTCCGGGAGCATCAGAATTCTAGTATACTGACCTCAAATATGCTCTGTCATGCAGTTTAGCATGTATGCTCTACAGTACAGTTTTGCCATCAAACTGGATTAAGCAAAACAAAATCATGTAAATTGTGTTTCAATCTCACTAAATAAGACTGAATAAATGGTTTCAAGTTCCTACATGGCTCTGTGTTTGATAATTTCTCTCCAATTTCTTTAAATATTCAACAAAATTCTCTGGTATTCCTGGTACCATAGTTAGGAGAAGAAAAATAGTTGTGCATACCTATCTTGGATTTATCCTTGACTGGATTATAAGTTTTAAGTATCTCAAATTCTTCTCCCATTTCAAGCCTAAACCTGTCACTTTGAGACATTTACCACAACGGTGATTGTAGCATACTAACTTTTGTCAGAAACTGGCTATCTTAAGATTTAATGAATGGTATCCCTCAAGTTAAAAGTTATTTCCTTAAGCTTATGAACCAATAAGGGTGAGCAAAAATGATGAAAGAATATATGAACTTCAAACTCTGTGTCGCTATTTTCATGAATTACCAGCCCTTTCATGAGAAGTACCCATGTTCCTTTGGAAACATTGAACTAATCCACCATTTATATTCAAATTCCATAGACCAGAGAGACATATTACCTTTTTTTTTAGGAGTTTCTTCTAACATCTACCTAAAGTCTGTGAGTGGATATTATATTGAAGTCACGGAGTATACTCTTAGTTTTTCATTTCAGGCATCATGGATAGTGGGAGGACAAAGACTGTGACTAGCATAAAGAGAAACCAAGAGTTATGTTTTTCTGTCTCCCTTATGATTTATATTAAATTTTAAATCAATAAACCTACTACAACATTTTTTTTTATGGGTTCACCTACTGATGAATGTATCCTTTTTTCCTTCCACAATTTGAATTACTTTCTTCTTTCTAGGAGAATATAGAGATTTGGAGAAAAAAAATCCAGTCAGACTTTAAGAAATTTCACATGATCCTCTATGAGGAAGAGAAGTCTTTTTTATGGAAACTGGAGAATGAAAACAAGCAAATTCTGCAGACACTTCAGGCCAGTGAAGGCAAGCTGGAAAAGCAGACCCAGGAACTCAAGCACCATATCTTGGAACTAGAGAGAAAATGTCAGGGCTCAGCCCAGAATTTGCTGCAGGTGAGACTGTGCACTGGGAGGAAAGGACGAAGGTTGTTCACTGCTGGGCTATTTGGAGTAGAACAGTGAAGAACATGGGGAAATAGGTAGGGTTTCCTACCTTTCTTAATAGTGCACACTGGGACAGGGAGTTTAAAGTAATGTTTCTTTTAGAGCTGAATCTAAAAGAATATGAAATAGAGAAATTTTAGAAAGATATCAAGGTATGGTGCATCAGGAATTCCCTAAATAATATGAATAAAGGATATTAGGCATCAGGTTTTACTTCAGTTCCCTGGGTAGACTCTATACAAAGGGTGGCCTTTGCGAGTTTATAGTATTTTTATTAAGATCAGAAAATAGACTCCCATGGTCGATATGATGATTCTAGGGACAGATGGGGTAACTTTAGTTGCCATGTATTAGCCTCAGTTTCACATACATAGCTACTAAACTAACTCCTCAAATATATTTCTGATGATTAGTGGAGGATAAAGTAGGGCAGCTAAAGTGATTGATAACAGTTTCCTGATTTGCTTACTGAGTTTGGCTCTAACAGATGTTATGAGATATTTTAAAATTTTTTTATTTTTATTAGTGAGACACCATGAGGAACAGTTGTAGACTTACAAATTTTTGTGCTTGGGTTTCAATTATACAATGATCAAATGGTGGTGGGAAATGGGCACTGGTGGAGGGATGGGTATTTGATCATTGTATAAAAAATGAGATTTTTTTTTAGCCTGATTAAGATAAATGCCTGAACTCTTCTAGTTTCCATAATGGCAGCATGCTTGTTGAGAATGTAGCAATGTGCTCCACCTTTGTACTGTAACTGCAGCCCCACCTCACTGAATCAGTCTCAAGAACTCGGCATGGATTCTCCAGTGAGGACTTCTGTGATTAACAATGTTAGATATGGGACCCTCTGAAGGAATCCGGTCAAACCTAGCACATGGGGAAACTCCTGATCTCCTTCTCTAAGCAGCCTGTAGACTGTGATTGCAAACACTCTAGCTCCTCAGGTTCAGTCGGGCAGAAAACACACTCCAAAGTTAATATACATGCTACCATTCATACCCAAAGGGGAGTGGCATGAAAATCATTACCAGGAAATCACTAAGTTTCTAAGTCTGAATCCACTTCATTTACTCTTTGGAAGGTATGTTTATAGAGAACACCCCACTTGCTAAAATTCCTTGGAATTCTGTTTGCATATCAATGTCTATCTTTGTTTCTCTACAGGATGTAACAGACACCTTGGACAGGTAACTGAGCTATGAATGGAGGAGGGAAAGGGATTGGCTATGTAGAGTCTAATCCAGTGTCCCACTGATAAAGTCTCTGGACTCTACTTATTCCAGGAGTTCTGCTATGTTGCTAACTATTCCCGAGTATGTCTGTGTGGATATTCACATGAAGCCCAATGTTTCTGAGCTTTACTTTGATATGAAGAAAATTTTAGAAAGCTACCAAGGTATGGTACATCAGGAATTTCCTAAATAATATGCATGAAGGAATTTAAGCAACAGATTTTACAGTAGTTCTCTGGGCTGACTCATAGGGAAAATATTTGTAATATATTTCTTTGCAGCTATTACACTCTACTGTTAGTAACTCCAGTGCCTAGACAAGGACTAGAGCACTGGTTATCTGTGTGGGCTGTTCAAACTTTTACTTTTCAGTTCATTAGTGCTGTGTCTCAAGCAAATGACCTCCTCATCTGCCCCATATAACTTTGAATTTATTAACCAATCCCCTCAGTGGACTCTCATCTGTATTAAACAACATTCATTAATCTGGGTAACATGCTGGTTCTTCACTAACCAGCTATAGAATTAATTGTGTTATTTTTCTATTATTATCCACAGAGTTGTTAATTTTTTCAAATAAATAGGACTTTCTCTCCTCCCATATGCCATGAGTTATGGAGTCCTAAATAGAAGAGGAGGGATTTTTGGAGAAGAGAATAATCAAACATGTCAAATATGTTCCCTCTTTTTTGCTTATATTAGTGAGAAATGGTAATGACCTTACATCAGTAGATGAATATAGTAGAAGCAGTTGTGACAGTAGCAATAGCAGCAACAGTAAGAGTAACCAACCATGCTACTATTACCAGATACACAACCGGAGCACCTAACCACAGTCTTACCAAGCACCAAGAAGATATTAGTTCGTTCAGTCCTCCTCACCATTCTTGTGACACATAGGATTTCTATTTTTTTTTTTGTACAAACTGAGTCTGAAAAGAATAACTCTGAGAGCTTGTAAGAAGTCAAGGTTTCATTTGAACACACACAGGTGGTTCTATTAAAAGTATACTGAATACTGGGTGTGAAATAAGTGTAATTTTTACCCTCTCATTTTTTATTTCTTTGTTGCTTTGATCCGTTTTAGTTGATGTCACATTGGATTCAGATACAGCTCACAATGACCTACATCTGTCTAAGAATCAAACACTAGTGACGGGACGATTGCCACAGATGAAAGTTGATACTCCTCGGAGATTTAGAGTCTCTCCCTGTGTCCTGGGCTGTGAGGCCTTCACCTCAGGAAGACATTACTTTGAAGTGTCCATTGAAAATGGAACTGAGTGGGATGTGGGAGTTTGTCTGGAAAATGTGTCAAGGGATTGTGACATGACACTGATGCCTCAGTCTGGATTCTGGGCCATCAGACGCTGCACAGAGCATGGTTATGTAGCACTTACATCCCCCCTAACTCCCCTTTGTCTGCAAGAGGTGATTGGGGATGTAGGGGTTTTTCTGGAATGTGAGGCTGGGCTTGTATCCTTTTACAACGTACGTACTGGTTCCCACATCTTCACCTTCTCACAGGTTTCCTTCTCTCAGCCTCTCAGACCTTACTTCCGTATTGGCAAATATTCTAGTTTGTGCCTACCTTACCCACATACATAAGCAATGAATTTAAGCAATGAATCAAGGCTCCTTCTTTTATCCAGTTTAGCAAATAATTCATATTCTCTCAGGGCACATATTTGATCTTTTTTTTTCATTCTTTCTCATATTTGAGAACAATGTTGAGCTTTAGCCGAAAATAAATCTACACGGAATGGATAAACAAAAACTCAAAAAGTACCACAAATGATGAACCTTTTAAGGGCTTAAGTTATTTGTTAGCAGATATCATACATTGTCCTGTCTATTCCTTATCTATGGATTCAGATCTCAAATTCTGTGGAATAAATATTTGGGAGAGGTGAACTTTCCACAAAGATTTCTCTTTAGGAAATAAAAAGTTGCCCTTTCAGTATGAATAATCTGAGACAAACCCTGCTCAATCTACATTTAACCCTGTTTGAATATGTTGTATGAAGATCACAGATTGGACTGACTCTGTTAGTTTGGCCCTGATCTAAGGACACATTCATGTGATCCACACAGGAATAAGTTCAAAATTGAATCAGAGAAATTAAGAATATAAAAAAGGCTTTTTGGACAAAAGTATACTCTTAATCAGAGCGCATGTGTATGTGAAGAATGAGGGCCCCTGTTTTTAAGTAAAATAGCTTCTAAAAGTAATAGCATATACTCTGTCAGTGAGGGAATAATCAGAGAAGTGCAGTTTATACACAAATTTCTGTTTATAAGGTATAGAAACAAGATAAATTAATAAGCTCCCACCTAAGCATAATATTTCAGAGAAGGGAGGTTTCTGAATGGCAATTTCATGGGGTAAATTTCAACCCAGAGTCTCACCGTATTTGGTTACTTCCTGAAATATTTATACTGTAATTTCAAAGTTTGTGAGTGGGAGAAGTGATGTGATTTTTCACTCTAAAAATGTCTTGTATGATGTATATAATAAAGTTCAAGGTCATCCAGAAGTCATACATTCATCTTAGATTTCTTTGCCTCCACGTGGTCTTAGATTCCAACAAATCTCAGATTTGGCTTCTTTTACCTTTTTTGGCTTGGTTGTTTTGGAGTCTGTGCTCATGGTTTACCCCTGTACCATAGCTCAGGAATCACGGCTGGGAGGGCTCTGGTGACCATTTATAGTGCTACACAGAGAACCCAAGTCAGCTGCTTGCAAGGCAAATGCCCTATGACAGAACTCTCTCTCTCTCTAACCCCATTGTTCATACCTCCTGAAATTTTATCATCTGTAATACATTAATTTTGAAAAAATTCCATAAGTTTTGAAAACCAATAGCTTTTTGGAAAGAGTTCCACCTGCATTGTATATAGTAGAGCTTTTTAATCTTTTTCCATGATAAATTCCCTTTGTCACAGGAACTTTTATACTTATACAAATAAAATATCTAGTAATAGTAAATTATGAATAAATTTGCTATAAAATACATTTTTTAGTATATTTTCAAGATTTCACATAATCACTCACACAACCCCATATGGCATTGCAGTCCACCTTTTGGGTACATAGCTATTTAAGAGAGACATTATCAAAGACTGGAGAGGGTGTGATAGTTAGTATCCCTTCATAAAATGAAAAAGATATTGCTTAAGTCACCCGGGAACCCCACCAGCATCAAAACTAACCTTAACAAAACAAGCAACATGTTTTAATATTCTGGGATCACCCACATCCTAGTTTGGCATCTGTAATTCCTTTCTTTAACTCTATGGGATTATTTGTCTCTCTTACTCTCCTTTCAAATTTTCTGAATAAGATGATTTTACTTCACTGTCCTCTCTGGAAATTCTTTTCTGAGTCTTAAAGACAAGAGCCTAAAACCAAATATTCAGAGATTATCCCTGACTTCTTTTCCTAGTCTTTATTTCCATAAGCAACACCCTCACCACCTGATCCTTACTGATGATTTTTGGACCTTAGTCCCACAGATAGTGTGCACATAGCTGCACATCACACTAGTCCCCAAATACAGATTGTCACCTGAGATTCTGACTAACAGGAATAATCACAGATTCCAAGTCCCTCTCTTGAGGTTCATTCACCTGAAGAACTCACAGTATTTAAGAGACACACTTCGATACCTCACTTATTCTATAACAAATGATAGGCTGCCCATCTTGTATAATGATACATCTATAATGATATTAGCAATAAAGCAAAGATGAAGTCAGAGGGTCACTGAGCTTCAACTCTCATGAAGTTTCTGTTACCAAACATAAATATTGGTGCTTGCGACTCAAAGGCCAATTATTCAAGAAACAAAGTTTGATGCAAGAAAAATTAGTTTATTCGGTAACTAACAACATGACATTGCTGAACTTGCTGTCCATTCAGCCTGTTTACTTTCAGTTTTAGACTATTGGTTTATATAGGGTCCATAGAGAAAGTAAGTTAGAAGAAATTTATGGGGAGAAGGTCAGGAAAAGAAGGGGGTCCTGACAAGAGATAGTTTCAGTGACATCAATGGTGAAAGAATTGCAAGAGAATGCTAATCTGTTTCTAATAAAATCCCTGAGGTAAGTTAGTTAAATAATATTCATCTCTAGGTCTGCGTGATAATCTCTAAGAATCTTTCTAGGAGATCAAGACTATATTCTTCCTATTTAGCAGCTCTGTGAGAAGCCACAGTGAAAGACCAAGCATTAAAAACAAAGTCATTGAACAATTGCAGATGTCACTTCGACTATACCTTTTTGCCTCTCTGGGATATATTCCCAGGAGTGCTATAGCTGGGTCAAATGGCAGATCAAATTCTAATTTTTTGAGAATCGTCCATACTGTTTTCCAAAAGGGTTGGACCAGCCGGCATTCCCACCAGCAGTAAAGGAGGGTCCCTTTCTCGCCACATCTGCGCCAGCATTGGTTGCTTTTGTTCTTGTGGATGTGGGCCAGTCTCTGTGGTGTGAAAAGATATCTCATTGTTGTTTTGATCTGCATCTCTCTGATGATTAGTGATGTAGAGCATTTTCTCATGTGCCTTTTTGCCATTCGGATTTCTTCTTTGCGAAAGTTTATGTTCATTTCCTAGCCCCATTTTTTGACGGAGTTGGGTGATTTCTTCTTGTGCAGTTCAACCAGTACCTTGTATATCCTTGATATCAACCCCTTGTCGAATGTGTATTTGGTGAATATTTTTTCCCATTCTGTAGGCTGGAATGTGGCCACACTCCAGGACACTTTCCAGACCCGTGTGGCAGCTCCGGCCGAGACCCACGCACGACTGAAGACCCACAGAACAAGATAAGCGGAACTCTCTGAGACCTTGCACTCCAGGCTCGGCGGACCCAGGGACAGAGCTTCTCTGCTTGCTCCCACCAACCACAGGTGACAAAGGGATTCTAATCAGGAGCCCCACCCTACCCTGCCCTGTCTGCTTCCATCAACCACCCAGGGATCGAATTGCGCACAGGAGACCCACCCTACCCAGATAAATACCCCACTGGCAAACTTCCACTCTCAACACTACTTCCACTACCCAGCTGTCGCCACACTCCAGGACACTTTCTGGACCCGTGCGGCAGCAAAGCGGCCGCGTGACACATCATAAGACACTAAATACCCATCTTCTGGAATTGTCGTACCACATTTGATAGGGTTCAAATATGGTAACACCTACAAGGGTGATTAGAGGTCGCCCCAAAAGCCTCTATCCCTCTCGGAAAGACTGGCAAGCTACCGAGAGTATTCTGCCCGCACGGAAGAGCCTGGCAAGCTATCCGTTGTGTATTCGATATGCCAAAACCAGTAACTACAACTGGTCTCATTCATCTGACCCTGAAGGCTTCACCGACATGGCAGCACTGAGAAGGATGAGAAGGGAGAGGCCGACAAAATCTCAAGGCCGACCTAGGCTGCCACAACGAAGGAAGACAAAAATGATCATCTGTACTTTCAATGCACGTACGCTAGCATCAGATGCATCCATCGAGGACCTGATGGTATAAGCGCGAATGATCAAGTACGACATCATTGGTCTGACTGAAACAAGAAGGCACGAATCTCACCATGCCGTTTTCGACACTGGAGAAGAATTGTGCCTCGGAACATGCGATAAAAGAGGTGTCGGAGGCGTCAGTGTCCTTGTCAACACAAACTTGGCCAAGAGCATTGATTCATTCGAATGCCTAACAACCCGAATCGGACGTTTACATTTGAATAGATGTGGCTCACTGCCTGCAGTTTCTATCTTCGTTGTCTACGCACCAACATCTCATTATGATGAAGGAGAAATCGAGAAGTTCTACATGGAGCTAGAGAAGTTCTATAAAGAAGACCACACCTTCTACAAGATCATTATGGGTGATTTTAATGCCAAGATAGGACCGAAAAGATCAGCTGAAGAACTTCACATCGGAACCCATGGCCTAGAGTGGAACGAACAGGGTGAGAGACTGTCTGAGTTCATCATGTCGACCAAGACCCTTCATGGTAACTCACAGTTCCAGAAGGCAGAATCTAAACGATGGACATGGGAGTCTCCCGGTGGACGATTCCACAATGAAATAGGCCACATCATATTCAATCGACGGTTTTGCCTGACTAATGTCGCTGTTGTCCCAAAATTTTGAATGAATCGGACCACCGTCTCCTTTGTGCAAAATTCTACTTTACAGAGCAGGGAGAAAGGGCTGCAAAGTTCAAAAAGAGAACTCCCAGAATGACCACCAACTGGGAACTCTTTGGTACTATTGCGGCAACATGGGAAGATGCCATTTTTGACAACGTTGACGAGGAATACGATCGACTGGTTCAGCACCTCCATGAATGTGCGAGGAACGCCAAGAGAGAGAGCCACAAAAAATCGCCTATCTTCGAAAACTCTTGAGCTAATTCGCCAGCGTGGTTTAGCGCATACCTCAGGCAACCGCAAGCTAACGTCTGAGCTCGCAAAGCAGTGCAGAGATGCGATCAAGGAAGACCTCAAAGAGAGAAGAGCAGAAGTACTGGTAGATGCGGCAGAAGCCGGGAAAAGTATTCGTAACGCCTGCCTGTCCTTCGCCAACTACAAGACCAAGATGAC